ATTATTTATCCAGTTCTTCCCAGCTGGGTATTTAGGTGTTTCCAACTGTTCACCATTTGAAATAAAATTGGCACGAATGTCCTCGTATGCTAATTTTCGTGTGCCTCTCCGATGATTTCTTTATGTTACTCCCAATTCATTACTGAATAAATAAATGGACAAACACATATTCGTTGTTCCTCTGCTTATGTTCTTAGAAAAAATCTCAGATATGGAAATGCTGGATCAAAAATAAGTGATTTTATTATAGGTCTTGATACATTTTGCCAAATTGCCCTGGAAAAGGGGTTACACATCCCCAGGAGTGGATGCGAAGCCTTGCTTCATAGGACAGTTGAAAATACCAGGCAGGATCACAATTTAAAAACATCTGTTGATATAATTGAAAACAGAGTAGCTCACGTCTATGCAGGAGGATTATTGTATGTCAGGCTTTACTCTCGTTTTATGCTTTTCATTTATTCCTTGCAACGATCCTACTTTGCTCTTTACAGGTAAAGTGAGGCACAGAATGCTGAAGCGACTTGGTCAATGGCCTAAATTTTTGAACAAGAAGCTCAGAGTTGAAACTCAAGGCAGAATGGCTTGAGGCTCTGAGTTCATCATTTCTCTAACATTAATGTTTTCTCAACTTTTTCTGCAGAGGGTCAGTTAGTCAATATTTTTGGCTTTGCAGACCACATAGTTTGTGTCACAATCACTCGACTCTGCCACTGTAACTTAAGGCAGCCCGACAATATGTAAATGAGTGGGTGCGGCCATGCTCCCACAGAACTTTATGTGTGAAATCTGAATTTCATATAATTTTTGGGTACTGTCAAATATTCTTCTTTTGATTTTTAAAAATTGTTTTAAAATGTCAGACTCATTCTTAGCTTGCAGGCCACACAAAAACAACTGGCGGGCCAGTTTTGGTCTATGAGCCATAGTTTGTCCCTCCCTCCCTTAAAGCATGATTTATTCATTCATTCATTCATTCATTCATTCATTCATTTAATTTTTTTAAAAATTTGTTAGGCGAGGCAACCCTTGGTTGACCTTACAGATTGCAAGGATCTTGTCAGCTTACAATCCCTTATTTTTTTTATTTTTTAACACCTGTAGCACCTGGTCTTCCTAGTTGGTCTCCCATCCAAGTACTAACCAGGTCTGACCCTGCTTAGCTTTTGAGATCAGACAGGATCAGGCTTGTTCAGGATAGCATGGCCATAGACCCTCCCTTCCTGTTTTAGATGTCCGCCATATATCGAAGATATTAACCCATTGTAACTTACGTGGCAAGTGTTTTTATACTGGCTTATTTTTTTTACTTCATTTTTTACTATTAATTTTTTATCAATATTGAATTTATTATTTTATATAATGTGTGATAGGGTTTGAGCTAATTATTTTCCTGAATGGTCAACCAATTGTTCAAGCTACATTTATTGAATATGTTATCCTTTCTCCTCAAATTTGAAATGCCATCTTTATTATGAATTATTATTAAATATAATTAATGCATTTTGTTACATTTTATAGGTAAGAAGAATGATATGTAGATAGATTAAAACTAGAGTTTGTTCTTTTCTATAATGTTTGTTTATTCTTAGAATAGTACCACACTATTTATATTATTGTCATTGTAATGACAGGTTTCATTCTTCTTTTCCAAAATTTATTGTGATATTCCTGTCTGTTTATTCTTCCAGATATAGTCTAGGTCATCTTCCAGGGCCTTTCCCAAATAGCTTTCCCTAAGCTCATCAAAAGTATTTTAAACCTATAAATCAATTCAGAGAATATCAGCAACTTTGTAATATAAAGTCACTCATCCAGTAACGATTTTAATTCTCCACTTAATTGAAGCCTTCTTTTATTTTTCTCATAATATTGTGTCCTCCCCAATTCTTGTTAATTTTATCTTAATTTTCGTTCCTATTGTGAATGAGCCCATATCAAATAATCAGTTATCTCTGGCATTTAGAAAAGCTGCTGAATGTTCTATTTTTATTTTTAACTGGCCCCACTTACTAGTTCTAATAATTTTCAGTTGCTTTTCTAAGCACACAATCATGTCAACGATGAATTGTCTGTGTTCACCAATACTTGTATGTTGCTTCTGATTCCTGCCTCAGTGCATTGACTAGCACTTCTAGAAACAAAGATGAATACGACAGATGATATTGACCGTTCTCATTTCTTTTTAATTTTTGTGGGCATTCACCTGGAGCATGATGTTGGCTTTGATTTAAGAGTTTTTATCAGGAAAAGGTATTAAATTGGCTGACCCTGTCTAACGTGTGTTGACAGGTATGGCAGGTGAGCTGGGTGATTAGAGTTCCATTGGAAGGTGGTCTCTATTATCCAGGGATCCTCTCAACTCTGATGAATTCTGCCATAGTTTCCATCTCTGTGTGACCACTTTGGGACTGTCTCACTGAATGGGCTTAGACTAGTATTTCTCAAACTGAATTCCCTAAGTTCTTTCTAGGAGTTAGGTAAGAGTATAGAACTGGAGCTTTATCAAAGAGTTAAACAGGCTTTCTTTATTCATTCAACATGTTTATTCAACCAACTATGTTCAAGTATGATGTCGTAATCTGTGGCTACGGTGATAAGAAAAAAAAAAAATAGTCCCTGCCCTTACATTCCTGTGGGAAAGTGAAATTGCTGCATCATATGATAGGTATATGTTTAACTTTATAAGAAGCTGCTCAACTATTTTCAAAAGTGGCCATAGCATTTCACATTTCTAGCAGCAATGTATGAGTAATTGCTCATTGCTCCACGTATTTGTCAACTTTTGGTATTGTCATATTTAATCTTTGTGTGTGTGTGTGTGTGTGTGTGTGCGCCATTCTAGTGGGAATGCAGTTTTAATTTGAATTTCTCTGATGTCAAATGATATCGAACATTTTTTCATATACGTATTTGCATTTATATAACTTCTTCGATAAAGTGCTTGTTTATATCTTTTTCGGATGGGAAGAAACGGATTGTTTATCATTATTGGTTTTAAGAGTTTTTAATATATTCTGGATACAAGTCTTTTATCAGATATGTGTTTTGAGAATATTTTCTCTCAGCCTGCAGTTTGTATTTTTTTGTGTCCTACCTAGGAAATATTGGCCTAAACCTATGCACAAGGATTTTCTCTTCTGTTCTCATCTAGTTTTATAGTTTTATAGTTTTTACTTCTAGGTTTAGGCTAATGATCTATTTCGAGCTACCTTTTCTTTATGGTATAAGGTAAAAGTTGAGGTTCATTTTTTACATATAGGTACATAATTGTTTCCTTACAATTTGCCGAAAAGGCTATTCTTTTCTCATTGAGTTATTCTGACACTTTTCACTGATCATGAATCGGTTTGCTCCAAGAAAAAAAAAGATCACCTAATCATGTATGTGGACCCTTTAATCCATTCCATTGATATATGTCTATCCTTATACCCATGTAATATTGTTTTGCTTACTGAAATTTTATAATGTCTTGAGATCAGGTAGTTTAAGTCCTCCAACTTCATTCTTTTTCAAAGTGCTTAGGCTATTCTACATCCTTTGCATTTCTGTATAACTGATGAAGTCAGCTCATCTATCTCTAAAAAAATACTGGAATTTTGATTGGGATTGCTTTTAATCTATAGCTAATTTTAGAGAGAACCGATATACTAGCAATATTGAATCTTCTAATCCATGAACATAGCGCATCTCTATGTTTGTTTTGGCCTTTTTTGATTTCTCTCAACAGTGTTTTCTAGTTTTAAATGTAGATGTGTTGCACATAGTTCATTAAATTTCATGTTTTTGATGTTATTGAAATGGTATTGATTTTTTAAAATTTTCGCTTGTCATTTGTATGTAGAGATGGAATTCATTTTATATATCAACCTCGTATCCTACAACTTAGCTAAACTCACATTAGGTCTAGGAGCATTCTTCTACATTCTTTATGATTTTTATGTAGATGGTCACATTTTACTTATTTTCTTTCTTTTTGTCTACGTAGATTATCATGTTTAACTTCTTTTACAAACTGTGTGCTCTTTATTTCCTTCCAGCCTTATCGTGCTGTCAAGGACCTCCAAAACAATGTTGAATAGAGGCAGTTAAAACAACATTGCCTTGTTCGGTCTCAGCATTAAGCGTGGTGTTAGCCATAAGTTTTTCATAGATGCTTTTTATCTGGTAGAGGAAATTCCCTTTTATTCGTAGTTTGCTAAGAGGTTTTTGCCATATCATAAATGTGTGCTGATTTTTGTCAAATGATTCTTCTACATCTATTGAGATGATGATGTTCGTCTGATTTTTCTTTTCTAATTTCTTGATATGGCACACTAGATGGATTGATTTTCAAATTCTGAACCAACCACACATTCCTGGGATAAACCCCACCTGATCAGGATGTGTTTTCTTTCTTACATATTGCTGGACTCTACGTGCTAATATTTGGCTAAGGACTGTTTGTGTCTGTATTCATGGAAGATATTGGTTTGCAGTTTTCATTTCTTGGAGCGTCCTTATCTGGTTATGGTGTCAGGACAAAGCTACCCTAACAGATGGAATTGGGAAGTGTGCCCCCCTCTTCTATTTTCTGAAAGTGTATGTGTAGAATCAGTATTCACCAGCGAAGCAATCCGGGCACGGGATTTCTTTGTGGGAAGGTTTTTAATTGCCAATTCCATTCTTAAATAGACACAGAACTATTTAGGTTATCTATTTCTTCTTAAGTAAACTTTAGCCACTTTACATTTCAAGGAATTTGTCTATGCCACGTAAATGGTCAAATTTATTAATGCAAACTTGTTCATAAAATTCCCTCATTGTCCTTTCAATGTCTGAAGGGCCTATAGTGATCTTCCCTCTTTTATTCCAGTGTGCAAACGCTTCTCGAGGCTCTGTTTCTGTTGCATTTCCTATTATCCCACTGGCTCAAACAAGTCAAATAGCTAAGCCCTGAATCAGCGTGGGAGGGGACCCCCAAGTGGGTGGAGACAGGCCGATGTGAACAAATCGGAAGCCATGATTTCAACAATCTGCCACAGGCAGCCCATCTTAGTGGTGAGTTTTTGCCCCCAAGGAACAAAACAGAGTTGTTCACTTTAGTTGCTTAGTGATTTTGTGTGACTGGTTTTACTTATGTAGGTGTAACAAAAGTAGTGAACATCCATCAAGACCGCCTTGCCATATTTTAAATGAAAGCCTACATTGCTACACCTTGACAATTATCTTCTCGTCTAGCATACATAATTTAGTAGAACCATTGAGAAATAAGGAGGGGGAGCAGAGAAACAGATTCCACAAACACGAATTGAGCACCTACTATATGCATGATTCTGCTCAAGGAGTAACTCCGTGGCCAGCAGTGCTAGAAGGGGCTGCTTCTCTCAGTAGTGAGCTTCCTGTTTTTGGAAAGAATCAAGGAAGGGCTGGACGAGGGGAGACAGAGATGCTATAGAGGGGGCTTGCTTGAACTCTGGGTGAAAGTTTGGACTAGCCGATATTTCCAGTTCCCTTCATCTCTAAGATTCTACAATTCCCCAGTAGGAATTGAGTTTTGAGGAAAGATAGGAAGTAGAAAAGGAATACAAAGGGAAGCCCCCAGGAGGTGGAAGGATGGGATTGGTGGGGGGCGGGGACGGCTTTGGGGAGAAGCAGAAGAAAGGCGTGGAGGGAGACTGAAGAGGCAGATTGGTTTCAAAGGGAGGATTTTAGGTAATGCGCTGACTCCCTCTCATCTCCCTTCTCAATCTGACTCCCTTCCTTCCTCTTGCCTCCCCAAGCACATACCCTTGAAACTGCTTTCCCCAAGGTCACTATTTGAACACTATGTCCCGTGTCTACTCTGAGAGCTTGCTCCTTATCTTACGGACCCTCCAGTCCGGCATTCAACCCTGGAGATCACTCCCACCTCCCAGCAGCCATCCCTCCTTTGTTTTCCCTCTGTAGGGCTCTGTCTTCAGCCTGTGTCTCATTTCCACGGGCCTTCGACTCCCTGACTCCCACAGGCCATCCGCAGCCCAGGGACTCCTGAGCCATGGGGTCTTGGCAGACTGGAGCATCAGGAGCCTCCGACATTTGCATGTGACTTGCTTTTTCCCATGCATCCCTTCACTGTGCCCTGGGGGTCGGCAAGGGCCAGTAGGCACGGCAATGATATGGGAACCTTTATCTGTGTTGAGTCCCCACGGGCTTCGCCAGCATCAGGAGGGCAGCCAGAAGCCCCTTCTTCATGCACTTCTTCCTTCGCCCTTTCCCCTACGATGTCACCTTGGTCTTCATTCTTTTATATTTGGGGAGTCGCTGCCTCACTTCCGTCTACCCAAAGACCTCCACCCAGCAGAGGGAGGAAAGAGAAGAAAGGATGCAGTGGACAGAAAATGTCTTCCCATCAAGGACAAGCAAAGGAGAGAAGGCACAGTTGAGATCATCTCTCTCCCTTGACCTACATCAATACGGAGTACGTGCATGGGTGTGTGTGTTTGTAATAGATTATTTTTTTTTAGAGCAGTTTTAGATCCACAGCAAAAATGAGCAGAAAATACAGAGATTTCCCATATACCCTCTGCCCACACACAGGCACTGCCTCCCCCTTTATCAACATCCTGCACCAGAGTAGGGCATTTGTTACAATTAATGACCTTACATCGACACATCATTATCACTCAGAGTCCGCAGTTTACATTAGGGTTTACCCTGGCGTTGTACATTCTATGGGTTTGGACAAGTGTATCATAATATTTGTTCATTGTTATAGTATCAAACACGGTATTTTCATGCCCCTAAAAGTCTCTTTCCCTCTGCCTATTTATTCTTCCCCCATGCCCCCCAGCCTCTGGCAACCACTGATCCTTTTACTGTCTCCATGGTTTTGCCTTTTCCAGAATGTCACAGAGATGGAATCATGCAGTATGTAGGCTTTTTAGATTGGCTTCTTTCACTTAGTAACATACATTTACCTTTCCTCCATGTCTTTTCAAGGCTTGACAGCTCATTCCTTTTTGTGCTGAATAATATCTTACTGTCTGTATGTCCCACAGTTTTCTCTTTTCTCTCTCTCTCTCTTTTTTTTTTTTTTTTTTATATCCATTCACCTGCTGAAGGACATCTTGGTGGCTTCCAAGTCCCAGTGTGTTTGTGTGCGAGCGAGGAAAGGGGCCAAGTTGCCCTTTTGGGGCTAGCGTACATTCACAGAGGCACATGGAGCATCACTCATTGTCATGTGTAAAAGATTACGAAGTTCTGCTCTCTTTCAGGTCCCTCCGGGACCTGAAACTCAACCTGTCCAAGACGAAACTCATCATCCTCCCCTCCCTCTCCCAACCTGGCCCCTCATCTCACGTCCCCATCTCAGCACATGACACCACCATCTACCTGGTTGCGAAAGGTTGAGATCTGGGCTTCTTCCCAAACTCCTCCCTTCCTGTCCTTGCCTCCTGCCCCCATCAATCAGCACGTCCTGTCAATTCTCTCTCCCAAATGCATTCAGAATCCTTGCATTCTCCCTGTCCCAAAGCCGTGCTCAGGAACGGCCTCTCAAGCGAAGCCTCCATGGTCCACCTGACACCAGCAGGATCATCTGCGAGATATGAAACCCCTCAAGGCAGCCCTGAAGCTCACAGATGTGCGCGGCTCTTTCTGGACCAAGTTTCCAGATTTGGTTTTGTGGCCTGCATGCAGGCGTGGTTTTCAGTGGGAGAGTGATTCAGCCTGCTGGGGGACAGCTGGCGAGGCCTGGAGGTATTTCTGGTTGTCGCATTTGATGGGGGTTGCTACTGGCATCTAGTAGGTAGAGGTCAAGGATGCTGCTAAACACCCAGTAATGGACAACAAAGGATGATCTGTTCTCCAATGTCAATAGAGCTGAGAACCTGTCAGAGAACCTGTTCTAGAATTACTCAAAGCGATGGCCGGCACTGGTCCCGACTCGCAGATCACCCATCCAGATGAGAGAGTACAAAAAATAATAAGAGTTTAGAAACTTTATAGTATCTTGACATAATTTTATGACTGTTGGGCTCATGTTTTGCATATCTTTTAAATTCTTTGTTTTTAATAAAACAGTTTTAAATCTACAGAGAAATTGAACAGATAGTACAGTTTCTATATACTCCCTCCCCCAACACACACACACACACACACACACACACACACACACACACACAGAGTTTCTCTTATTTGTAACATCTTAATCTAGGATGGAACATTTGTTACAATTAATGAACCAATATTGATACATTAGTATTAACTAAAGCACGGACTTTATTCAGATTTCCCCGAAAGTCTTTTTTCTGGTCCAGAGCCCCATGTGACATGATGTGTAGTTGTCATGTCTCCTCAGGCTGCTCTTGGCTGGGATGGTTTCTTCAGTTTCCTTGTCTTTGATGATCTTGACAATTCTGAGGCGCATGGATCAGATACTCCGAAGGGTGCCTCCCTATTGGAATTTTTCTGATCTTTCCCTCATGATTAGATTAAGGTTATGGGTTTGAGGGGAAGAAGATCACAGAGGCAAAGTGCTATTTTCATCACATTATATCAAGAGTACGTGCCGTCAATCTAATTATGACTGTTGATGTTGACCTTGATCACCTAGCCAGGTAACTTAGTGTATTTTTCAGGTTTCTCCACTGAAAAGTTACTCTTTCCACCCCTCTTTTCAAACTGTATCTTTTGGAAGGAAATCACTAAGTACAGTTTCACCCCTCTTTGAGGGTGGAGAATTTAGACAAAATATTTGAAATTCTTCTGCATGTCAGGTTTGTCTCTTGTCCTTCATCTGTTAATGTGTTCTATCATTTATTTGTATCAGTCTGGACTCATGGATATTTATTTTATTCTTGGGGTCATAATCCAATGCTATATTAATTTTGTTGCTTAAAGTGCTCCGGCTTGGCCATTGATCAATGGATGTTTCAGTCGGCTCCCATGAACCGTTTTTTTTTTTTTTTTTCTCATGGACCTTTGACATGCACCCGTCATGGTCAGCTGTTCCTTGTTCTCTGGCACTATGCATGTCTTTTTCAATTTTATGTTCCTAGACATTCGTGTTTATCGCATTTAACGAACTGGGAAAAAAGAAGTGACTTTTGGAGAGAATTCGAGAAGCACTGCAAAACCTTCCAGCATCTTCCTCCAGGCACCTCGCTATAGTCCAGCTCTGGCGACCTTCCCTGAGCCCACCCAGCTTGTGTCCGCCCTTTCTTTTGCAGTTCCCTCTGCCTGGAATGTTTTTCCTTCGACTGCTCCTTTTCAGCATTCATGTCTCTGCCCTATCTCCCCCTCGTCAAAAAAGCCTCCCCCTCCCAAACCAAAGCAGCCCCTACTCAGCTATCTCTAGCACTCTTGCTTTATTGTATTATTGTCCCAATACTTTGTCTCTTGCTGAAATGATCTTTTTTGACGTATTTGTTTATTGCCTCCAAATACAGGTGTCATGATGACAGGGAGAGCCCTTGGCATGTACAATGTTGTCTGTTTGTTTAATTATTTTGAAATATATCAGAAGTGTCTCCTAGAGGTCACTGGGGGTCAGATAATAATCTTCCTCCTTGGCCAAACTTCAGAGGGGCCCCATGGGACATAGTGTGGGTGAGGAGGGCAAAACCAGTGGCCGTCCCTGGATCCTATCATCGCAGCTCACAGTGGACTGGCAGTATAGAGGGGAGACCCTGACCTGCCATCTAAGGGTCGTGGGTGTTATGTTCAGAAGGGAAGGGCAGGATGGAGGTTAAGCAGTGGAAAGCTTGATCCAGGTGATGTCTCAAAGCCTCCTTCCATTCTCCTTGCCATGTGACTTCGGAGCTCTTGACCTCAATTTTCCCATCTGTAAAATGGGTATAATACTCATTATGCTAGGGCTGTTGCGAGAATTAAATGAGATTGTGCTGGGCATATGACACCCTCGAAAATTGTTACCTGTTAGTGTGATCACAGAAAAGCACATGCACATGAAGAATTGTGCAGTTGATTTTGGGGGGGTTTATACACTCCCCAAATCTAGACCTGAACCCTTGACCTACAAACCATTTAAGTTATCCCCTCCCCGGCTTAATCACCACAGCCTAAAGAGTTAGGAGGCATGAGAGCAGAAGGAAGGCCTCAGGCAGGGAGAGGGCCCCAGCTATGGAGGGGGTGGGAGGCAAAAACTTGGGGTGGGCCTGAATGGAAGGGGCCACCCTGTGCACAGAGAGGAGCCAGTATGTCTGCAGCTGCCTGGGCCCAATGAACAGGCCCCCAGGGGCAGGTGGGACCTGATTCCAGCCCAGTGTGTGGGTGGGGCTGTCTAGCCCAGCCAGGCGTTCCAGTTGGCCTGGTGTGGGGGCTGGGACCTAGGAGGCTCCTGGAGCCCAGTGGAGGGAGTACTAGCCCAGCTCCTGCTCCAAATGCCCCCCAGGCCCTCGCGGCCCAGTACAGGGGAGGGGGTGAGCATGCAGGCTCTCTCCTGGGCCTGGAAAACTGTGCCTGCGTGCACCCCCCAGGAGTGTATGGCAGCGGGCGGCAAGCAATGCCTTCACCTGTGTTTGTCTTTTTGGTCCACAGAGGTCATGAGAACCTTCCCAAGAAAAGCAAACATGAGTGTGAGTTGGCCGGACACGCCATGCTCATAGGAGGGCAGGGCATGACAGGGCACCTCTCCATGCCAGGAGCCCCTAACCCTCAAACAGTACCACAGATGGAGAAATCAAGGCCCGGTGGGGAAAGTATTTGTCCAGGTCTTTCAGGGGGACTGGGACAAGATCTGGAGCACGTGCATTGCACACATTCACACATGTGTTCAAACACATACATACACACCGGCCCCTTTGTGTGCCCACACCCACTCCTGCACGGGCACATCCAGACAGGAGGGCCCACGCCCCAGCTCCCCTCCCTTGGGCGCACCCACCCCCTGCCCAGTCACACACTCTGGACCATGAGACGCAACCTCAAACACACCTGTGTATGTTAAAGGAACCAGGGAATTTCTGCAAAAAGGGCTCAGGGATCACCATGGGGGGCGGGTAGGGTGGGGTCTCAGGCAATTAACTTGCTCTAGTGCTTTCTCATCTCATAAAATTTTATACAGTCAAGAAAACACTGATTGTTCTGTGCGTGTGCGTGTATGTGTGTTGACCAAAACTCCCTCTGTAGTTGTGCATGTACAAATTCGCACTCACACCCACTTGTGTGGAATTCACCCACCCAGTCTCACTTATATATGATATACAAATGCATCTAGATGCTCACAAACACCCATACACAGCCGCAAAACCACTGAAAACACAATTACTTACACATGCATACCAACGCACACAACCACAGTCATATATTCACCACCAGGCACACTAGACACCCACAAATGCACTTGTACATGAAGAGATATGTTCAGATACTCAATTTACATTCAGAAAACAGATGCACACACATGTTCACCTTGTTACACTCACACTCACACGGACCCATGCAAATATCCACAAATTCACACAGATGTAAATGCCAGCTTCACATACACAAATACACTCAGAAAGTGAGACATGTTAACACTCATATAAACAGATAACATAAAAATCCAAATGCATATGTACAATTATTATACACACACACAACTATACATGGAGATACACATCTAGACATACAGGCCCTGAGAGACCTAACAGAAAAACACTTGTGCGTTCACAATTACACAGAGGTAAGAGGCACAAAGCAAATATTTTGACACAAAAACACAATGGAATGCACAAGAAATATTAAACAAATATCCACAAATAGGGGCTCATTTACAAATATTCCCAGTAACATGCACACAATTGTACTCATGTACACAAATATCTTCACACATATACATAAGTATATTCACACACACTCCTCCACACTGACATACACAGTCACTCATATGACACACAAACACATTTACTCACAGAAATATGCAGTTCCTAGACAAGATGCACACTCACACTCTCACATATGTATCAGAAATGAACAATGTTACACAATTATACCCACTTCCACAGTTTACACACCCTGTCACACTAGGCTGAAACCATATACTCAAATGCAGTTACCTACAAATACACTCCTATGCAAATACATGTATATGCATAAAAATACATTCCAAAACTACTCCCCACATACACACACACACGTGCACAAACCACACTCAAATACTCATTTACAAATGCACTTGGGCACAAATACATCCCCACCTACATGCAATCGGAACCCGCGAACAAATTCTGCTGGTACCACAAAGACACACGCAGATATTTGCAATTATACTCAACGACAGCCATTCAACCACACACATAGATACAAGTAGTCTCGCTCCTGCACAAATACACTCTCAATTTCTCTCACATACTCCTTCACTGACATTAGTCACACCGTTGTACAAAACTCAAGTACATATATGTGTTCACAAATATACTCACAAAGCCCCTGACAAAACACAGACACACGCACACACACACTCACCACTCCTATATCCTCAGGACACAACACCTACGCAATACAGATCCTTGTACACACAACGCACATGGAAAACATGGACACCCACACACACATATGCGCACTGTTACATTCACACCAAGATATGCACCCGTAGACACCCTCAAACGCACTCGTTCATCACCCAAATACATTCAGGGGCGCACACACAGATACGAATACACACATTCTTGTACGCTCATGATACACAATCAGAAACAGGTGCACCCACGCACAGCCCTTCAGGCCAGGAAAACAAGCCCGCACAGATGGTGAGCATCTAAGGATACACACTTGGACCAGCACACACACCCACAAACACAGGGTCCCTCATCCTTTCCAGTGCGCGCGCGCGCGCACACACACACACACACGCACACACGCATACGCACACGCACACGCACCAACTCCTCTGCAGCCTCCCCGCCCCACCCTGCGGCGAGGGCCGA